CCGACAGAAATGGCGTACTTTGGTATCGGAGGCCAAGATCCACTTCGGATCGGTGAGCCAGCGAAGTAAGTAAGAATTAAGTACCAATGCGTAAAAGTATTTAAACTAGTTGTTTGCACTACGTTGAGCGCACGTGTGTTACGGAGACGGTTCACTCTTTTGTCCTATTGTACTCTAAAGATAAAGCGACAAGACGAATCGGCACAAATAATATTTTGCCAACTTTATTCTCTAGCGTCTATAGGGAGAGGATCGTTTTGTTGAGTTTAATAAATTTGTCTTCATAAAAAGAAATTTGTCTTTTTTTTCTAAGTAATCTGTTTTTACCGTGTAGTTGTAGTACCACGGACAAAAACAATTACCCGTGTTACTACTAGGCCTGTCGGTAGTTACACGGGAGATAATTATTGCCCGTGCAACTAGTAGTTTAGCTGGTAGTACTACGGGCAACAAAGGATACATAGTACTGTCTTTATAATTTTGTAATTCTTTCTAAATCGCAGCATAGTCAAGACAACATTTGTTTTCATAGTAAACAACGCAAATTAATTCGACAGAACCCCCAACACGAGCATTTATAAAAATAAATCATCGTTACAATATAATAAGATTCAAAAAGACATTAAAACATTATAATATTATTTATATGTGTAAAATAAAAATAGGCGTTATGTTAATGCTTCTAATCATGCTTTCTCCGTGTCGTTACTGGGTCCAAAATTCACGCAATTAATTCTTTTAAGTAGGTTTTTTTTATTAATAATTTTGGCTTGGATACAAGTCCTTTGAGCCATGTCTTCGTTTAGTTATGTTTCTGTAAATATGGCCGCCACAAAGAGGATAGGCAATTTGAGGCGGCGTGCTTGGATTGACTCGGGATTTCTTAGAACGGGCCGATACGGGTATTTTAGTTCGAGATTCGTATACTTTCTCGTTTTAATATTCGATTAAGGCACAATAGCACTACCCTATTCCACTTTAAACGAGATTTCACAAAATAATTGAAAGTCAAAATAAAAACGACACTTTACCCTCCAAAAGGACCAGAGCGAATCCTTTAAGTAGGTTTGTGTGGAGATACGTTTAAAAACTTTTTCACCTCAGCAGCTCGAACAAGGCTATTTTGCTGTGTGAAATCAGTGAGCAAAATCTTATTTTGCTCACTCCGTGAGAAAAAGTAGCTTTTTGCTTTTTAAGTGGAGACTTGTCATTTAATGCGAAGTGCAAAGTCCAAATTGTATTAACAATTAAAATATAACGCTACGACAACAGTAATAATATTCAATACTTACTTTTGCGGCTAGGAAAGTGCAATCTGGAGCTTCATTAAGAAATTTTTCAATATTAGCAGCCGTGAAAACTTTCGATTTTTTTGAAGATTCGATAAACCTAAAACAGACTTCGCATTCTTGGGCACAACCTAGCACCTCCAGTGATGCGAATCATACCCAAACCCGCCCAGAATCACCAACTTTTACGGTGCGGGAAGGGTCACAATCCAGCTCAACTCATAATGAAACCTCGACCACTACTCAAGTAGCAAACACTACGACGATTACTGTTCCAAATAAAACAGTAACTTTTAATCTACAGAATTGTACAAACTTCACGTTCCACTTTTAATTTTTTGTAAATTCTGTATTTTTGTAAATATACAATGATGCATTTGCTTTCATGACGTGTTTTTATTACTTGTCCCTTTAGTATATATATATGTTCTCGCTGCTGAGGTGAAAAGTTGTATGTATCACGCGAGAGCAAAGTTATTTTGCAGCTCGTATTTTTGAGTCCCTCGCTTCGCTTAAGATTCTAATTCTGAATCACTCGCTACGCTCGTGATTCAACTATAGAATCTTTCGCTTGCTCAGGACTCAAAAACAGCACTCGCACCAAAAAACGACTTTGCTCTCTTGTTGAACAAATAACTATTTTCTCAACTTCTAATTTAAGTAGATAAGTACTGAAGAGATTGCATCTTCATCACTGCGTCTTCAAACAGACTATTACCGAATACCAGTACAATATAAACAGCGTGGTACTAACGCGACAGGACAATGATCATGGTGTTTGGCTTGACGCTAAACTTAATTTTTAAACTTAACACATTGTAGCCAAAGCATATAGAATGTTGGGTTTTATTAATAGAGTGACAAAAACATTCCAAAACCCAAACAGTATGATAACCCTGTTTTTTTCCTTGGTACGCAGCAATTTAGAGTATTGTTCAGTTATATAGTCACCCTTTTATAATTGTCACATTGAAAGAATCGAAGCTGTCCAAAGACGGTTTCTTCGGAACTTAAGCTCTAGGTTTGGAATGCGTAGGAAATTGGATACTTACGAAGCAAGACTCAAATATTTTAAGGTATGCCCTCTTCAGTACAGACGTGTGATACTGGACTATTCCACACTGTTAAAAATTATCAATTTAGAAATGGATTCTTAATATTTTTTGCATGTTTAGAGCTCTAAACATCCAAACAAATCTAAACTCCAAATCTTTTTTCAAAGATTTGGACTTATTCTCCCATAGTCGCTATACTTATTTAAATATTTGTAAGGAGAAGCTGAATATGTTTGATATTTAAGAATCTCATTGTTTTTATGTACGTGTAACATGATTTTTTGCTATTGTTTTTAAGTGCAAGTTTGTATTTTTTTAAATTATGTTTAATAGTCTGTTAATTTATAAGTACTTTATTTATTTCGCAAATGCCGTGAGTGGCTGTCTTAGGAATACAAATTTACTCCTATTATAATGCATGTTAACTTTAAGCATCTTCACAGTTTGTATTCTGTAGTTATGCCAAAAATAAATAAATCTATTCATTTCTGTCTGTCGAAATGCCAACGACTTTAGCTCATGCAGGTTGTATCGATTGATATTTGAAATAAATATTAGAGATGAGACGGATAGTGATTTGGCCGGATACCAGATATCCGGCGAGCACCTAGGCCGGTTAGCCGGATATCCAGCCGCCGCATATCTGACCCACTGCCGTAAACATGTCGCGTCCGGTTTATAGCGCGCATCACAGTGATTGACTGATTAGTGAATGTTTGCACATTTACATTGACGATTTGATTTGTTGTGGTCACTTGGTTTTTATTTATATTTGGTTTTTATTATGGTTAATATTTTTGTTAACACAAACATATATGTGACAGAAAAATGTTAACAGTGAAAAAAAATCGCAAATTTGGCAATATTTTAAGATCAGTGCTGTTTGTTTGTTGTGTCGAATGCAAATTTCTCGCGGTGGAGAAGGAATAAAGGAAGCACATCATTCTTTGGCTATATACAATTTCTAGTATAAGTATTATAGTTCTAATATCAGTAGTCTTTGAAAATGGTGATATTCCACACTCCTGAAAACTTCAAGTTGTTATCCCTATTCATAAACCAGGTAAGGATCCAAGGGATCCTGCCTCATATAGACCCCATTGCGCTTTCATCAGTATTATGCAAAACATTGGAACACCTCATCAAAAATAGATTAGAGTGGATATTAGAGAGCAAAGTACTTCTATCCAGGACGCAGTTCGGATTCCGTAAGGGTATGGGCACTCGTGATAGCCTCAGTACCTTTTCTACTGAGATCAGACTCGCACTCACCAGAGGATTGTATTTTGTTGGTGTCTTCCTGGACGTGAGAGCCGCTTATGTCAATGTCCATCTCTCGCTACTCAGGCAAAAAATGCATCAGCTGAGTCTACCAGCGAGGATGATTAACATCATTTATAACATGCTAATGTCTCGCTCCATCTCAGTACGTATCAATGGTTCTCTTCTCCCCCCCAGAATGATATGGAAGGGACTCCCACAAGGTTCTGTCTTGAGCCCCATCCTTTATAGTCTATACACTGCTGACCTTGATAAATCTGTTTACTGCTTCTGTGATATTTTACAATATGCAGACGATTTAGCACTCTATTATTCCTCAAAGTCTCTTGATGAATGCACTATCCAACTAAATACTGACATTAGATACTTGCAAGTTTGGCTCACTAATCACCGCCTTCTCCTATCACCCAGTAAAAGCTCTGTAGTAGTATTCACAAGAAAAAGACGTGTCCCACATATACAAATTTTCCTAAATGATGAACTGATCCCTGTACACGACAAGGTTAAGTTTTTAGGCTTCTTTTTTGATTCCCACATGGCTTATAAGCATAAGCCTAGCAGTAGCACTTGAAACGCCCGTTATTATTTGATTTCATTAATTTGTTTGTGATCTAACAAATTCTAAGCCTTGATACCAGATTTGCCAAAAAAATCTACTTACGCGTTTCATTATTGTAGGTACACATTGTATTTGAAGACAGTTCTCGATCGTGATCGCGCTTTCATTTAGTCTTCTGGCAACTATTAATTAAACTTGACAAGTAATACTTACATTCAACAAAGTTTGCAAGAGTTTATAGTGAAAAACTGTCCTCTGATGCTTGTCTCCTTTATGAAAATAAATAGTACCAACTGATTTTTCATCCACCATAATTTGCCTTTATGGAAATTTGAGTAATAATTTTACCGATAACGTCATATAACTTCATAGTTATTTCAGTTACAAGTAATAAAAAAATTGTCAATAATCCTGTAGTTGTCAAATTTCAAGTCAAATTTATAATAATAATAATAATAACGTACACACTCACCAGAGCCCCGCACTAGGGACACATAGACAACCACAAATTACACCCAAACTCACGAGAGAAATAAATGTAGGGTATACAAATATTTCTCCCGGTCCGGGAATCGAACCTGGGACCTCTGCGTGGCAGCCCGGCATGGTAACCGTTCGGCCACAGAGGCAGTTATCAAACTAAAAGAGTCTTTTAGTGCATTTTACGTCACGTCTTTCACTCGGTTTCGAAAAAAAAAATTGTATATTTAGTAATAGACATACCTAAAAGTAATGATACACTACCTTAACAATTACAAAGGAAAAGTTAAATAAAACCATAAACATTTAATAAATTGATATTTATATTTTTTTTATAATAACACTGGTCTACTACGCACACAATTCCGTCTTGATGTCACGAGTTATTTGATGGGACGTGGAATTCTTAGCCTGTAAATGGAAGCATGTTTATTACTGTACAGTGTCCATTCAGAGTTGAGAATGTATTGGAGGATGGAGGTATTTTATAGAACACTCAAGTAAGTAAGATAACACAAGGACAAATAAATATAGATTTCTTAAATTCAACTCACCGAAGCAGTCATCCATAAAGTTCTCGACTGAAACAAACAAAAGGCATCAATAAATTGTACTTATGGGTACACATACGTATAGCGCGTAATGAATCTCCAGAAGCACGTGAACACATCCCCGATCGCTCTTCTTGTACCTTAAGGAGCTCGTCCACTACGTACCATTTCGGAATATCTAGATTTGATGTATGATGTTTCCACATAAATGTAACAAACCAATTGTACATTTTTATGTTAATTTATTACTTACATTATTAAATTACAAATTATATTAACCTAAAATTCGTTAAAACTATTTAGAATAACTAAATCTTGCTGAAAATTCAAATGTGTGTGCGTACTTTAAATCCTCCGCCACACGTCACTCTAACCATTGGACATACCCCTCGGAATTGGTTCCGGATATCCGGAATTCGAAAAGTAATTAATTAATATTTAGTGACTTTAACAACTATATATCACTCATAATAAACACATTCGCGCGAGCTACGTACCTACATTAGGTCATTTGATTTCTTTTATTTCACCGAACAACACAAGAGAGCACTATTTGGACTTATCAAATGTTAATATTGACGTCATTGCTCTACAACATATCAACGTATTGAATCTCTAGCGACACAGTATCGAAATTTCGCTGAATAAGTAAGCACTACTCTACTACTCACACATACACACAACGTAAACGTAAACGCGCAACGTCGGCGGGCGGTTTCTAAACGACACGAAAGATAATACACTATGACCTTCGGAAGGAGTAAGGTGGGGTCTATAAAGAATGCCACTGTGACGCGAGTGCCTCAGATCCTAGTGTGACTCGGAAGTATACTAGATAATTAAGCCTTTCTAATTACTCACATTTCCCCTTTTTCTTTACCATTTTCTTCGGTTTTACGGGTTTCTTTTCTTCACATGGTTCAGGAACGGGAGCTGGTGCAGCGCTCACTGACAAACAAAACAATAGGTGTTTAGTTTTTCTAGCTTTAACACAGTGGAACTAAAAACGAATAATGGCAATAAAATACTTAGTTTATTTATCACAGCAAATTAAACAAGTAGATAACTATTTTTCCGGATTTAAATCGCGTATATTCGTTTTTTCAAACAAACCAACGTTTCAACAAACAAGTCAACCGTGACTATGGGACCTGTAAAGGGCCCGAAACGTTGGTTTGTTTAAAAAAACAAATATACGAGATTTCAATCCGGAAAAATAGTTTAATTTCCTATGTGTAACAATCGCGAAAACCTAACAACTCGATATAAAGTACATTAGACAAAGTTTGGTATCATACAGCAATGTAGACAGATAAAAGGTCTGTAAAACAGCGAAATATTTTACAACGGCTCTGATTTGCACATGTATCGTGTCACAGCCTGTAAATATAATTAAAATATTAACACAAATCGTTCAAGTTTTACCATAGCCATTGGTAGCAAATTCATAAGTAGAAACCATACAGTAAGAATTGCTTTATATACATATAGATAACAATATTACGTAATTAAATAATAACGACATTACGGTTGACGAAGGGAATTTTTGACTAACTAGTGGAGTTATTTCATAAACAATAATTGAAATATATTTCAAACAACATTCAATAAAACTTAATTAGGAAAACATGGTTTCTTTTAGGATTTATTTTATAAGTAATATATTTTACATTATATTGTAGCTATGGATGTTTCAAAGACGTAAGACCATGTAGAGGTTTCGCAGTTAAGACTGCAATACCAATCTTTGTCATTCAATACTTAGCAACTTGAAGTTTTAAGTTCTTGGACAAACAGACAGGAATCATTGTATTTAGCACCCTTTGTAACTGGTTATTGGATATTTCACAAGGGTGGAACTTAAAACGTATGAATAAATAGTGATGTCACTAATTTATTTCACAAAACTTAAGTGTGACAGTTACTTACCTTCATTTTCGGCCACCAGCGCCAGCGTCTGAGGAAAGGACTAGATTAAAGCCAAAGTAGGTTCAACATTTTAAATGCCAAAAAGTGGTAAACCTCGTAACCTCCATTAATATGACGAAAGTTCACATTAATGTAGGCACAAAAACAGGCTTACTAGAAATAATTAGTAGCAGTAGAGCTCCTTGTGAAAGAGCTCATCCAAGGAAGTACTGCCACCTTACCTATTTCTCCCGCCAAGCAGTAATGGTCAAATTACTGTGTTCCGGTTGTGAAGGGTGCTGGTGAGATTACAGGCACGTGAGATTTGTCAACTTATGTCTCAGGATGACGGGCGCAGTGGCGGTGTCCCCAGATCTTTATGATTTAAAGCTCTGAGTAACACGCAACTGCTATTTGTAGGCGTTTGTAGGCTTACTACCAGGCGCACGACTTGTTTGTCCCGTCCCTTGGTATTATATAAAAAAAAGTTATATGACCATTGACTTACAATTATATGGACGTCGGGTCCGCGCTAAAAAGTGTCCGCACTTGTAAGGCGCTAAAATCGTATACAGAGCGCCAAACTCCGCTTTAGTCTTCATTTGTTCGACTGACAGCGCGATACTGCGATGACATTACAATTTAAATTTTTTTCGTGGTTTTTGTATTAGACCCGTCGTCCATTTATTTGTAAGTCAATATATATGACAATCAATTTACTAATTTTGTTATGAATATGAATAGAAAGATCGAAACACACAGAAAAATTTTTTACATTTCAAATCGGAATTCAATAATAATCAAAAATAATCAAATGATTTAACTCAGAAATTAGAAAGATTTAGTAGGAATCAGGTTCATCTTCATCAACCCATATCATTTCGAGATTACCCGATCGGATCGATTCCTATTGAATCAAAATCAGGACGCCGGTGGGAGTTGAACCCACAACTATGCTGCATCATAGCATTGCTCTAACCATCTGAGCCACGGGTTCAGTTACCGAGTGGTCGAAATTCTTCTATGTGTTTTTGTTATACATCTTTGTGCTCACTTTCGGCATTCGTCGCCGCTAATGACATCTAGTGAGACATTTTACAAAGGGTTTACAAATTATATTTTAATTTTTTTGTTGCCCTATATTGCGCTTGAAGAGTAAAAAAGGGATTTCGTCCAAAAGCGGAGTTACGAGGTTTTCAAATTTAACGGACGCTAAGTATTTATTAATAACTATAATAAAGTCAAGAACACATTAATTTTCAGTCAAGAACACTTGAGCTTTGAACCTTTTTCATAGTAGATAAGCGACATTCGCACTGCTATTACAATAGTGGTGTAACTCAAAATATGGGAAATTTATTAACATATCATTACTGAACGTAAAATTTGATTCTCTACACGCAAAAAAAAACCATCGTTAGAATATTGTAAGAAACAATCAAAAGATATCTACTTTAACTCTAAATGACACACTTTATGTGAGCTAGTTCTGGCCAAAATAATCCTTATTCAAAAACATGAAATAATTTTTTCCATTTTCATGTTAAATATATTTGAGAAATTGTTTAAATGTTTATAATAAACTATAACATATACATTTTAATGATTTTTTTGCGGGAAGTGAGTAATTCGTTTTTAATCGATTCTGAGAAAGTCCTCTTTTTGAGTTAATACACTATTGTATTAACAGTGCAATATATCGGCAATACACCCAAAGCAAAATGCCACACGTCATAAACTATGAAAAAAATAAAGAAAATCGGACTCGCAGTTTCTGACTGAAAGTATTCGTATTTTTTAAATCGCTTAATTGTAATTAAACATCGAGTACTACAATATCAATTAACATATAAATATAGGTGACAGTACCTTAGTAGGAGCATGAGAACATATTTATCCTTTGGGTCCTACCAGTAGGAGCATAAGGACATATTATACGGTCAATTTAACAGAGTTCAATTAAAATCTTTAATGTCAGCTTGAGTGCTGTTGACCCAATACGTTTAGTTGCCCTGTTCCCACCAATACTTCGTACTTACTTACGAACTTGTAAGTCATAATCTCAGTACAGAGTACTAAAAAATCCGACCTCAAAAGTAAGTGGAACTACGTCTATTTGCTAAGTTTTATTGAAATATCCCCTAGTTCGCCACTATACAGGACTTGACTCTGGAGATAATAAAAATCTGTTCTCATTACTCAAAGTATATTGAGAGAAAAACGCCTTGAATTGGAGAAATAGCAAAATCAACCATTCAAGTAATTGGTCCTAAATTAAAGTTAGGCGTTATTTATAATGAATCTTCATGCGTGAACAGCCACCCTTCGAGGTGGATGCTTTTCTTCAAAATACAATGGGACCACTATGGAAGTACCCCCTTTCCAACAAAAAAAGAATCATGAAAACCGGTTCACATATACCGGAGTTATCGCGTAACATACATACAAAAAAAAAGAACATACAGACGAATTGAGAACCTCCTTTTTTGAAGTCGGTTAATAATACTGATAATTAATGAGTTGATTCTGACAGACACTAACTTAAACATAAATTGAATACATTATGAAGCGATAACCATAGATTAGAAATGTGAAAATCACTAAGCCGGATCGTCAATCTACTAACATATCATCTAAATCGCATAGATATATGTATATATCTGCATATCGTTACCGAGCACAAAGTTACCGAAACGCAAAAAACGGATTGTATATACAAATTTTGCAGGCTGATTTCACAAGACATTTCCTTCATATTCATAATACACTAGCTTTTACCTACCCATTATTATAGGTACATGTGAAAACATCGTTGGTTTTTCTAATAAAAACAAAAGAATTATATAAAATATAAATGAACATAGATATAACTTTAATTCATTTTCTAATGCAAAGTCTTCAGATAGACAATGACTGTTACTGCAACAAATATAAATTATTAAATATTATATTAGTGTTTTTTTCGAATGTTCAAAAAGTATCCGATATTTGGTACGTCTCAAGCGCCACTACCCAGCGCCCCCGCTGGGTAGTGGTCTTATTATATCTTCTTCTTATTATATCGTATTAAGTATACCGGTTGATATTATAGTAGGTTTAATACCTACCTATAGGTATAAACAATAACAGAATGAGATGAACTTCTTACCAGCAACACAACCCCGAACAAAAGGAACAATTTTGAAGAACTCAGCATTGTCAAGCTTTCTGATTGAACTTAAATAACATTCTCGCAGAGTTTATATACGAAATATTGTCGACACGGTAAATTTCACGCGTATTAGCGTATTCAATAACAATTTACCTTATCATTATTCGTCGATTGACGTATGTTTTTCTTATTAATGAAATAAATACGTAACATACTGAACCACTATACAAATATGAATTTACCAAAACATTAGTTTGCAAAAATATACTTATATCGAGTTCTTAGGTTTTCGCGATTGTTACACATATACTATTTTTCCGGATTTAAATCGCGTATAATTTGTTTTTTCAAACAAACCGACGTTTCGGGCCCTTTACAGGATGGTCACGGTTGACATGGACACGATTTAAACAAACTGTATCCCTTAATACGTGTTATGTACTTGCTCTAACAGTTTTATATTATATGTATATTTAAGGTTTAATATTCTTAATTTACTTCTACCGAACCCTATTTTTTGCTATTTAGTTTACACAAATGGATAGAAAATAATAAAGACGCGTCATACTGTGGAAACTTAGTCATTGTTCGTACACATATTATTATAATGATTAACATAATAATATGCCGATTGCCTCTCGACATATCAAAGGCCTTTGATAGGGTTTGGCATGATAGCCTGTTAGTTAAACAAGCTTCCAAATTACGGAATTCCTGTTGGCTTTTGCACATGGATAGGCTATTTTCTGAAGGATAGGCCAATCCGTGTAGTTGTAGATGGTTACTCGTCTGCTCCTCATGGTATACCGCCGGTGTACCTCAGGGATCTGTCCTCTCCGCAACTCTTATTTATTGCTGCATATCAACGACCTGTTACGTACGTACGCAGACGACAGCACAGTGGTAGAGAGTTATGCGCCAGACGCCCGAGATAACAGCGAAAAGATCCGGTGTAAACGAGAGGGGTTGGTCACCCGGTTGAACCTGTGCCTGAAAGCGGGTTCCGACTGGGGAGATGCGAACAAGGTCAGGTTTACTGCGGCTAAAACACAGGCGTGTCTTTTCATATCAAAACGGAGTCCCCTACACCTTACTCCGACTTTCCGAGGTGTATCCGTGCTGATAAGGGATCATCTTGAGCTACTTGGCTGGACTTATCATCCAACCTCAACTTTGGGCGACAATCGAGTGCATGGCAAAAACTGTTGTCAGAAAACTAGGCTTACTTTACAAGTCAGGCGGTACTTCACACTTGAACAGCTTTTAAATCTGTATAAACATTGACTTACAAATAAATGAACGACGGGTCTAATACAAAAACCACGAAAAAAATGTCCCAAGTCAACCTATTTAAACGTAGTGACATGTCAAGGAATATGAAAAAGCTAAAACGTTGAATTTAAATTGTAATATCATCGCAGTACTGTCTAATTTTGCTTGCTTCGCTGTCAGTCGAACAAACGAAGACTAAAGCGTGAATGATGCTCTGTATACGATTTTAACACCCTATAAGTTCGGACACTTTTTTAGCGCGGACCCGACGTCCATATAATTGTAAGTCAATGTGTATAAAGCACAAGTTCGATTGTATATGGAGTACTGCTGCCACCTTTGGGACGGCCATTGCCCATTACCAGTTAGCTGCCTTGGACTGCGGTGGAGCGAAAAGCAAAGAGACTTATTAACAAAATCTCGACTATCGCAGAAAAGTAGCCTGCTTGTTGGTTTTCTAACGGATACATTTCGGGGAGTGTGCGCAGGAACTTTTCAATTTGGTTCCGCCCTCACCGTCCGAACTTCGGTCGACTAGAAGGTCCGGAGCACTCCATTCTTATGTCGTTGATATTCCACCTATTCGCACTAAGCGCTTTGTTTCCTCCTTTTTGATGCGTACGACAAAGGAATGGAATGCTCTACTGTATTTTCCGAAAAGTACAATTTGGGGCTATTCAAGGCTAGAGTGAATAGGCATTTTTTAGGCAGACGGGTTCCATCGTCGGTCACATCGTCGCTTAACATCAGGTGAGATTGTGGCCAAGCTTGTGTCTATTATATATAAAAAAAATGTAGTTACTTGAGCAAGTAGGCGGTTATTATCTAAAAACAAACAATCTGATACTAAATTTAGTTATTTTGCGTAAGTAATTAAAATAAAAGCTACCAATGGACGGCGACGACGCATTCAAACTACTAAGGTAGGTATGATTATTGATACAATAAACTAGTGAAGTAATTTCACAAAAAAAAAATTATTTGCCAGGGTATGTTTAGGTATTTTTGGATTAGTGCTATGTGTGTTGTTTTTTAATTAATTACTAGTTATTTTTGTAGCTCGTAGTAGTAACCATGAGTTACAAATTACGGAAGTAATTAAATACTGACAGTTACTACAATAACAACTTGTAAGGAAAATGACATTTAACAATTAATTCATTTCGACGAAGCTCTGATAATAAATAACTTAGTTGGCACAGTCCAGAACACATCAAAGTTCTGACATTTTGGACTTATTTAATAATAAACTTGACGTGGTGCGAATGATTGACTTCGTACCAGCTGGGTTCCCATGGCACATGGTAACGCGCGCCGCCGTGGAAGCGAGCTCGCGCCAACGCGCGCGCCGTGTGTGGAAAAAAGGCCGCCCGAGCGCACGTGTGACCGCGCCGATTGGCCAGTCCGAAAACGTCCAGTTTAACTTAAGCTTTGCTGTAATGGCGTAAATTGAAAAATTCTATAATTTAATATTTAATTAGCGATGAAATGTGATTCCGTTTGTTTTGTAATTAGATTAGAATTAGACCTGTGTTCCAAAAATATTTTGTATTTATTGTAATAAATATCCCTAACAATGGCGTGCTGTTTCATTCGGTGGTGTGGGGAAAAATAGCAAAACATCTAATTATAAAACAAACGGAATCAAATTTCAACGGTAATCAAATATTAAGTAATTGTAATTTTTGTCCATTATAGCAAAGCTCAAGTTAATTGGTCGATTTGAAGTGAACCAGTTGACAACATCCGTCAATTGTTTCCTACTCGGCTAGCCATGCGCAGTTGTCACAGTAATGATATGGCAGAATAGTTTTCAAATAAATTAAATTACATTTCGTCTCTATTTCTGGTTATATGTATACTCGATGATTGGGAATGAGCTAGGCAGGCAGGTAATATTGAGTGTTAACCAATGATATTTATCCGTAGTTGGAGAATTCACGTAAAAGCCCCTAGCAAAGTCTACTCTAACAAGTCTACTAAAGGCCATCTTTAGACCATGAAGCCTACTCAAGTACATAGACATCGTTGAGCCTAGTCTTCTTTTATATTTTTTAAATTCATATGGTAACCTTAGTAACTGTTATAATCATATACTCTTTTATTGTGTAGTCAAAACACTCTGTTGCTTATTAATATATGATTTATGTTTTGTCTTGTTTTAACACGCGTCATTACATGCTTGCAAAACGAGATGGATAGTATGAAATTTTGTATATTATTTCGCGATTATCAAATATTGTAATGCCCAAACCCACAACATTACCTACCGAATCAATGTGAATCATTTAAGACTTTAAATTTATATTCACACAATTAGTAAAATAGCGAAATGGAACAACACAACGATGTAAATTAATTTTCAAAAAGGACCGCATCTGCGTCCGCCATCCATCTTGAAAGGTTGACAATCAACTAAATGATGTGCAGCGTCGTCACCGCATATCCGTGAAACACAGCGTGTATATGGATGGAACGCCGCATCTAGTACGCTATCGCTAGTATATAGATATCATTGCCTAAAAGTAATAATGCACTACCTACAAAATTACAAAGGAGAAGAAAAATAAAACCATAAAAACTTTATAAATTGATATTTATTACAACAAAATTTATTAAGTATTTTTTTATAATAATGTGGCCTACGCACACAATTCCTTCCTGATGTTATGTGTTACTTGTTGCGACGTCAGTTTCTTAACCTGTAAATGGAACCACATTTATAACTATATAGTGCCCTTTAGGGGTTGCGAAATAAGCAAAAGTTTAAAGAATCGCCATTAAAAACAACGAAACGTATTTTATGGCACATTCTGACAAATGACATATGCACAAATAATGATTAGACGTCTTATATTCAACTCACCCATGAAAAATTTCGCAACTGAAACAAATAAAAGGCATCAATAATTATACAGGTAGACACAAACACGTTTAGCGCCTAGTGAATCTCCAGAAGCAGGAGAACACATCGTATTGATCGCTCATCTTATCTAAGTAGGGAGCTCTTCCATTGCATACTACTTCGGAATATCTAGTTTTGGTTTATGATTTATTCCACATAATATAATTGTAATATGCCAATTGTGCAATTTTGTTGATCACTTAAATATTACTCAATTTGAAACTGTATTTATAATTCATTGGGAACATTTAGGATACTAAATGTTGCTACTCGGATACTGAAAATTCAAATGTGGTACCACAAATCTGCCGTCCGCTAACTAAAATTTGATTTTTCTAAATGACAAAAAATTTTTTGAGATATCATAAAAAACCATAACCCAGTTTTGCATATTGAAATTGTTTAATAATATTTCAGCTATGCATCGTTAGGATAAGTTCCGATAAGTCGAACAAGTTAACTAATTTTAACTATTTTTAAAAGAGAATATTTTGCACTATTTTTTGCCATTTAAAATGGATATTTCACCATTTGCCACTGAGCCGCGTTTTAGTTGGTGGACAGCAGGAATTCACTACATCAGCTTATCCATTGGATATATAACTTGTGAAATATAGGTGCCTGCCTTGACAGGTGAGCTGGAGATCGACGAACATTATACATATAATCACAACTATCACAAAGATACTACTAGGTACACTACCATGACGTCCGTGAAGAGTAAGCCTTCGTTCACACGGCATTGTCCTGCGCGTTTTTGAACGAATTCGATTATAAACGAACAGTGACCCCGCTCTCCCTGGAAGACCAGAAGGTATTAGGCTCATCCAATGAATCAAGAAGCAGTGCGTACAAACACATTTGAAAAATTGTACTATCTGAGAATCGATGAACAAAACAGGCCTTTGTTCCACTAAAGATATCAATAAATTGTTGCCTTGTTCCAAAAGATACTTCAATACTAATAATAATAATAATTCATTTATTTGTGAAAACACAGGTTAGAAGCTGACATGGTCAAAATACGCATAGTTTTACTGTGTCCGGCCAAACAGTAGGCATAAAAATATTGAAGGTATATATGCATTCACTCACATGCACTTCGACAGACAGACATGTTTCGTTTTTCAATAATATTACATGAACGTGCGCATATGGATTTAATAAGTCGGTCAGAATTGAAACGCGATGATAGTTATATGGGTCGATTTTAGTGGTAATTAGATGTCAAAATAATATCGTAACATGAATAACGTAAATAACGTCTAATGTCAAAAATTAGACAATGAATTTAGGGATTTATCATTTAAAAATTCAGACACTGTATAATACATTTTATTAGTCAGTAACTTGTTTAATTGTTTTTTAAATAGCATAAGGTTTTTCTCAGACCTTAGTGCTTCCGGTAAATTTTTGGCACCATTACAAAAATACTTTTCTGCATGAAGGTAGTTTTACAGGCTTTCAAACGAAGTTGGTCGTATCGTCTTGGCTTCAGAGTTCGTGTGAACAAGTGTGAGTGCATTCGGACATACACGACAGTTTCGTAGCTATAAATGAAGGAACAGTCAGTAGTCGAATATCTTTAAAATGTGGTTTGCAGCAATCTGTTCTCTTCAATCGACAAATTGCTCTGACACATCTTTTTTGTGCCTTAAGAACTGAGTTCACATTAGTTTGTTGCCCCAGAATATTATACCGTATCTTAATATGGACGCAATATAAACATGGTATGCTTGAAGGACCGAGTCTCTATCTACAACCTTGCTAAATATAAATAATGTATATGCATAAGTGTTGAGTTTAGTGCAAATACTCTCTAATTGTGCTTTCCAGTTAGTTTTGTCATCAATCTGTATACCTAGGAACTTTGTTATATTTGTGTCTCCGATGTGTGTCTCTTTGTGCTCTACGTTTATCTTAATAACTATTTTTCTCGACCTAAAATTCATGAGATATGTTTTTTCTAAATACATTTTTAAATTATTATCTTCAGGCCATTCTATTAATGAATTTAAACTTGTATTTATTTCGTTTTCTTTAATATATGTAATTGTACAATCGTCCGCGTAGAGCACCATTGAGTGATGGGATGCTTTAAGCATGTCATTAATGTATATTAGGAAGAGCAATGGTCCCAAAATACTACCTTGCGGTACTCCATATAATGTTACTTTAATATCAGAGTTATATTTCATTTCCGTTCTTGTTTGAATGTTGACTCTACTAATTTTGGTCAACTGAGTCCTTCCTTTTAAATATGAATAAAGTTTGTCAAGTAAAATGTCATGGTCTACGTAGTCAAAAGCTTTTGTCATATCCATATATATATATAGCAAATACCGGTCGACATTTATCCATTCTTTCATGTATTTTCTCTAAGAAATCATAAATCGCTAAATTAAGTGAACTATTTTTTCGAAAACCGTTTTTTCTTTACAAAAAATTTCATTTGCCTCAAAGTAACCATATAAATTCTCATAAATAATTTTCTCAAACACTTTAGAAAAAACTAGCAGTAGTGCTACAGGTCTATATGATTTCATGAGTTGTTTATTGCCTTTTTTGTACATGGGTTTTATAACTGTTATTTTCAAATTTTCTGGAAATGAACCCTCTCCAATGCACATAATATGTATGTCACTTAGGATATAAGAAATCACATAAGCTACATATTTTAGTACCTTCGTGCATACGTCATCGTATCCTGTACTATTTGTATTTTTTAAATTGCGTATAATGTTAAATATATCTTGAGGAACTGTAGGTTTCATAAAAAAAGACTTACATGTAGAATAATTACATGTATTTTTACTCTTTACTTTTGAATACAGTTGTACTTCTTGTATTAAGTAGTTATTCAATTCGTTGATTTTTAAACCTGATATAGAATTTTGGGGTATTTTTGGTCTATTATTTATTATTTTCCACGTAGCTTTGCATTTGTTTGTAGCTCTGGAAATAAAATAGTTATTTTGACACTTTTTTGTTAACTGGATTATCCTCTTTAGTCTTGTAAAAAAAAGTTTATATGCAGTTTTAGTTTTCTTTGTTATTCTGTATTTCCATAACATCTCCCTTTTCTTTTTACAGCACAATCGTATTCCACGTGAAAGCCGTCTTGTTTTTTCTTTAACAAAATTTTTTACTCTTATTACAGGAAAACACAATTGATAAAAAAGTTTAAAAGTGGCATAAAAAGCCTCATTGCTGTTCCTGGCTGTTCTTGAGTCACTAAAGCTGAGTTTGCTCGGCCATTCTTTGAATTTTATCATATTTTCAAGAAAATAGTCTCGTCTATAAGTGTACCATTGTTTTAATTTCACGAATTTTCCAACTGGGCATCGAGCCAACTGTGATGTGTGATCGGATAACGCAAAGTCAATTACTTCTACCTCACACTCATTAATATTATGTATAACATTATCATTACACGTACTACTACTTGGACGGGTTGGTTCATTTAATGCTGTTTTCAGATTAAAACCCTGTACTATGTTTGTAAATTCCAAAGATAATTTGGTGTGCTCTAGAGTATTTATATTAAAATCGCCACAAATAACGAACTTTTTGCTTCTTTGGTAGCATACTTCAGTCAACATATCGTGCAGATTGTTATAGAATAGAATAGAATTATTTATTTCGGACCATGATCTATAATAATGTTAGTAATACAGTAAATTTTACTTACGTGCTATGGTTAGTACAATACAAAATTACTTAATTTTAGTGAGAAGTGAGTCTAGACCACTAACCTACGCACGTGTAGTTGCACCCAATGTAGTTGGTAGGGGCAGTCCATCCTATTGGCAATAATGGTTAGGATGCTATTAGCGCTGCCGCGTACACGCATCATTATAAAATATTTCAATACATTTCAATTCACTTTTAGGAACTCTATATATACATAGAACTTGTGAACAAAATTATGATCAGTCAGGTCAACTGCACTACATTCAATAATGTTTGCAACACTGAATTTGGAAGCTTCGTCGATTATTTTATAATTAAAACCATCTTTAATGAGAATGCATGCACCTCCATTTCTATTATGTCGAGTAAAGCAAGAAGCAAGTTTGTAATTGGGAATATTTAAGAATTGTATGTCTTCTACCTACCAGCTCTTCTGTTCTTCCGGCGGCAAAGCCGTTGGGTCTTCTATGCCAATATAAAAGTGCAACAAAGCGTGGATCCATCACAGACGTGTTCTCAGCGCGATTGCTGTGTGAATACTGTGGCTATCAATTTTTGAAACGGATGAAAATATATCATGGGAACACCCCGCTATCTGTCCGTTTATAATCGAATACGTTAAAAAAACGTGCAGGGCAATGACGTGTGAACGAAGGCTTAGTGGGGAATCTAGATAGGTTGAAACTTGGTGGCTTATTTCTGCGCTCGAATGCCTCAGTTCCTTGACTGACTTGAAGTATATATACTAATTAGCCCTTGGAAATCTCACATTTCCCCATCTTCTTCTTCGATGTCCCTTTACACGATGCAGGTTTCTTTTGTTTACACGGTTCAGGTTCAGGAAGGGGAGCTGGTGCAGCGCTCACTGACAAACAAAACAAGAGGTGCTAAGTTTTTCTAGCTTTAACAAAAACTAATAAAGATAACAAAAAACAATCTAACAGATAGAGTAGAATAGAATATAATTAATTTATTACAACGCACAACACAAAATGTGTAAAAAAATATTACAGAAAGAAGTAAAAAACAACAAAGCAAAAGTGAAACAAAAAAAACAACGAATCAAGCATAATCCAATTTTAAAACAGTGAACTTAATATATAATTTGAATAAATGTCATGTATGCGTCATTGGCGTACCTTGTAAAAGGACCCACTCAGCTATGTCGCAGCCGAACAAAGATTGATTTTCAGTGGATATAAAACACATTAGATACAATAGTATAAAGAGCAAGTAGCGAGGTAAATCTGCAGCTCAGTAAAATGTCAAAAATCGGGCGCACGCCCACCATCTTAATTTGCTCGCGATGTGCGATAATTTTAAATGAGTGAGGACGGAGACCACTCCTCATTCCGTATGATTTTTTGTGGGTTTACTAAACTCCGTGTGTACGTCAACGAAGCTCAAAGTGATGAACTAATATCAAACTTGTAAGTGCATTTTGACGTTCTAAAAATGAACCGTGCATTGAGTGCTCCGAAAATTACGAAGAAACGTGCTAGATTTTGTTTACCGCGTAATAGACTTAACTTTGAACAATTGTTGAATAATAATTACTGATTGAGTAGGTTAATTATTGTTTTTTTAATTTATTATTATTTATTTAGCAACGCCTAATTACAAAATAGGTTACTAAAACTAAACAAGGTGCAGAATATTAGGCTGTACAAGTAATTCTGAGGTAAATGACCACTGACTTCCCTTACTAAAAAATATCTGCAATAAGGGTGTCAGTCATCCTCCGTGACAGCTTACAACCTTAACAATCGAATAAATGCCGTATTTTATTTTATTTTAAAATATAGTTAAAATAATATAATA